ATTTAAAATAAAAATATAGTAATTATAAAGTTTAAAGGGAAAGTATATTAAGTTTTATATATATTTAAGTTACCTAAAGTTAAAAATATTTAGTATTAATAGTAAAAAGAAAATTAAATAAGTTATAAAATAGGCTATATAATTAAATAAGTAAATTAGCTATAATATTAATATATTATTAATATAAATAAGGGCTTATATATTTTTATAATATATTATATATTTAATTTTAAGTTATTTTAATAGGCCTAAAAGGTAAAAAGGGTTTTAGCTATATTTAAGTATTATAATATATTTAATAATTAAGAATTAATTAATTAAATAAAAAGTTAAATATAAAAGAGAAAAATATAATACTAACTTATCTACAGCACTTACTTATTAAATATATTATAAAAAAAGTATATAAGTAAGTAGTAATAATAAATATTATTTAAAATGTAAATTACTATTTACTTATTTTAATAGCTTATTAATAACCTTATAATAGGTACTTGTATAGTAAAAATATTAAAATACTTACTTATATAAAGCTATTTATATATTTAATATATTTTAAGGCTTTATTTAAAGTAAATAAATATTTTTTAATTAATTAAAAGTTATATAGCTATTAATATAACTATTTTAGGATATAATATAATATTAATTAATATTAATTAGAATTTATTTAAGAATTATTACTTTTATAGCTTTTTTCCTTTAAAGATAATTCCTAATTTTAACATATAGCTAAGTATAATAATAGCCTTAATAAATAAAATCTAAGTCTGTAATTAAATACCTTTTATTAATACTTTCTTTTTTTAACTTAAAACTCCTAATTATAAGGTTATTTAAGCTATATAAATAATTAATTAAGTATAATATATAAAAGCATTTAAAGAACTTATAAAGCACTTATTAAAACTTATTATTATACTGCCCTAGTTTATATTAATAATTCTGTTAGGCTTAATTTAATTATACTTATTTTCCTAGATATTAAAATGTTAATTAAACGCCTTAAGAGTAAGACTATTAAACTTAGCAGCCTCTTAGTACTTTTTAAGCTTAATAAATAGTTTTAAATAATACTTAATAAACTTAGTAATTTAGTTTTATTTAATAACTTATTATCTTTTTATTAATACAAGAGGGGTTTAATATAGCTTTAAAGTTAATTATATATAAGATTTAGCCTAAGGCCTTTTATTATAAAAGCTAATAAATAAGGTAATCCTCTTAACTTATAGAAATATATTAATATATATAAATAAACTCTTTTTTACTTTTTTAGCTAAAAAGTCTTTTTAAGAAAATAAATTAAATATATTATATTTATAAGAGGCTAAATATTATAATAAGAAACCTTTAGTAATATTAAATATATTATTAAAAGTATTATTTTTAATATAAATATAATAACTTATTTTAAAGATTTCTTATATATATAAACTATATAAAGAGTCTTCTTAACTTTATAAAAGTAAAATATTAAAAATTAAATAAGAATAAAGAATTTTATAAGTTAAAACCCTTATAATATATATAAAGTTAAGAGAAAGATAGTTTAAGATAAAATATTATATAAAAAAATAATATATTATAGTTTTTCTTTTTTATAAATAGCTTTATTATACTAAAACCTAGTATAAATAAAGTAATAAGATTTATATAAAGTAATATTCTTTTATATTATACTTTAAGTAATATAATTCTTTAAGTAATAAGAAATAATACCTTAAAATACTATACTTACTATAATATAGACTTTACTACATATAATTATTAGTTAGTCTATTAATCTAAATTGTAATAATAACTATCTTATAAATATTTCTAAACTGCAAGAACGCCAGAACAGTGCATATATATCACAAGACAGGAAGGCATAGGCCATTACCAGGGCATTAAACAGAGCACCTCATTACTCCCACGCGCGTCTAAAGTGCGTAGGCTGACATTGTTGTTAGAAATGTCTGCATAAGATAATAAAGGCGAATGTATTAAAACTTGTTACTGACGGGTTCTGAATACGTGAGAGGTACCTACCAAGGGACGTAGTCAACTCATTTGGATTCGACGGGTGCTCCAGTATCTTAATTCATTAACAAAGAAACTCAGGGATATAGGATTCTAAATCCACGGGCTAGTAAACCATTTGCTGGCCATGGTGTGAAGATTGTCGAAGACATGGTGAATGACTTCCAGGCACCTAATTGGTCTAGTGGAATTCGTTTTAGATATCATCATTGTAGCATTGTCTCACAGATAAGGTCTAGTGTCGAGAAGATAGAGCGAGACTTAAATGGATTGAGGCTAAAGAATTATCACAAGCAACTGTATTTGGATAGCTATGTAAATAGACCCTGTGTACTTTGGATGTGTGTAAAAGTCTAGTGGGCGATGACGGAGCAAAAATCCCCTATTCAAGCAAGTTTGTTGTTTAATGGCTGCCACTAGTGGCTGCTTTCAACGCTAGTCGAAACGAAGATGTTGGCATTGTGGGCCCTCCCTTGGACGAAGTAGCCTGCGATGTGCTTTTACTGCAGCAAATGGTTAAGTGGAGTAACAACCTAACACTTTCCGAGAGCGGCTATCATGGTAGAAGATCAGCAACGAACACGTGTTACCAGCAGCGTGTAAGAGAATATACGAACCTTTAGTGCATCGGCTGTCGGTGTAGGCGCCAGACACGTAGCAATACCCTTCAGCATGCGGGAGGCGGTCCCAAGTGCTACAAGACCACGACCATCAGACACGTCATGCCGTTGTCGACAGGTTAATAGTAACTCACCAGTTGCCTTCATGACAAGTTCCCTTCTTGTAGCAATCAAACTTGTACTCCTGGCCCTTGTACACCGAGTACTTGATCGGATAGTTGGTGCCAGGTCCACTGCGGCAGAAGGCGCGGTTCGAGACGTTGACGATCTTGCACTTCCTAGTGGAGCGTGCAAAGAGGTCACGACCCACCAAATCAGCTTCGCTCTGATCGACGCTCAAGGGCTCAGTTCCTATGGCATGTTCGTCTCTTACGATGCCAACAGGGCCAGAGTCTGCGACTGGCGAAGCGAGGACCCCGGAGAGGGGAAGGAGCAACGCAATGACGGCAGAGAACTTCATTTTGAAAAGTGTGAAGGAAGTAGAGTGTAGCTTGAGATGGTGCTTAAACGAGGATGGTGTATCAGCAGTGATGGAGATGGAGGTTTTCTCGGGCATTACTCTCCTTTTTCTTCCTGACTTCGCCAGCTTCTACTGTTCTTCAAGGTGAGATTGTTGATAAATACTCCAATGTAAGCTCGGAACCATTATTGCCCCGTGGTTGCAGCAACTGAAATAATCCAGCCGCGCAAATAAGGTCACCAACAAACATATTGCTGCCAGGGTTTGCAACTCAAGCCCGGGTTTGGAGCAATGCCATTGATCATCATCCACGTTAGCGGCTTGTGTGGGGGAATATAGTTTAACCCCTGAAACCCATATTGTGGAGTCCCACGTTCAGCCGCAGCGCAGGGCAAGATGATGTCGCTAAAATCGCTAGACCAAATGACCAATAAAAACGAGGGCCCCGGTTGCAGAGGTAACGGGACTAGGGCTTATATTGGTCGCAACAGATGATGCCTCGGAATAGCAGATAATATGAGTATTAGTACTCTGTATTAGACAGTCCCGCTCCAGTCAAGTTTCACGAACTGCAATGGACTCCTTCATATTATGTTTGCTGCAGCCTTACTAAGCTGTTGCGTTGGTAATAACAACGACAACGGGGAATCGGAGCCTGATAAGCATGATCATCCCTGCTTAGACTAACCCATGAGCGGGGCAAAGAGTTCTTAGATTGGCGGCTGGAAATGGGCTCCACTTTCGGTTATCACGTATTAGTCTTATATCTAGAAAAGGAGAGGGAATTAAACTAACTAATGGCTTAAATAGGAAAGATATTCAAGAAAATAAAGCATAAGAGCTCATGTTTAATATTAATAGACTTTACTTTGTAATAGTGAAACACTTTAGTGTTATAACTAGGTTTATTATTCGATAGAAGTTTAGCCAAAGGTTGGGGTTACAGGGGCATGAGTGGCTTGGAAAGGTAAAAACAACGACGGTAGAAATCGCATTGCAAGCCAACTAAGGAAGGAGCAAGAGCGGGGCGCAGCCAAGTAAGTAAGGGGGCAGGATCAACGCACTGAATCAGGCAGACATGCAGAGGCTATGCGTACTCGTATACACATTTGGTCAGGCTGTCTAAAGAAAGGCCGTCTTCTGAATAGGCCTTCCCTACTGGATAGGCTGGATGAAACCAAGGTACGGAGAATGGCTTCCAAATCTCGCTGGTGCACTTTGTGGATGCAGTTTCTTGGACTAAATCACCGCTGATCCTAATTTTATGGCGGAGCTGCCCAAGGAGCTCCGCGTCAAATGATCTTGCATTCACCAGTACATATGCGCCAGTCAGAATGCCCGAAACGGAGAGTGAGTCTTGTGAAGATCCGTGACTACTGGACTGTCGTCTTACTTCACCCCAGTGCTTGAGAACTGTTGGTTGACATTGGCCCACTTAAACTCCGTTGCGCCGTTAGCCGGGCACAAAGTTCTTCTGGTTAGTAGGAGCTTGTGACATTTCAACGTGGATGTACATAATTGTCCAAACCCCTTGTGGGGTCACATGCTAACATCTGAGACGAAAACGGGCAAAGAGTGCTCTGAATACTTACGTCCAAAATAAGGACTTGGGAGTGGAGGAGGTAAGGAGGGACCTGAGGAGTGTGCAGGAGGAGTTGAGGGGGGGAAACCATTACTATCGTACCTTTTTCGATGGAAACAGTCATCAAGTCCTGGCTTCAAGCCTATGCTTAGCTTCATCGAACATTATGCGCCTTATGTTCAGCAATGAAGGAGATCGACCACGCCCCAGTTCAATGCCCCACTGCATGGTAAAGTGCAAGAGACCGTAATTTCTCCTCCAGGGCTCTGCGCAACGAAAGGACTTCTCGAGTATACAAGATCACCATCGAGTGGGCACATGAAAAATTCCTTGATACGACTGAGCTGAGAAATTCATCCGATGATGACTGTAGATCTTCGTCGATCTTAGACCACTACTAAGTATATAATAGCTGCGTCACGCCTGGCAATATCTACAATACAACACAGTCTTTCACAAACACATCCAATCACTTCAAATCACAACCAGACAATCAATCCAACATGAAGCTCTCTTCGCTCCTTACATTCACCACAATTGCCATCGCCGGCACAGACGCATGGAGCTTTACAGTCTGGACCGGAAAAGACCAGCACGGAAAGAAACGCCACTACCACAGCAGTGTCGGAGATAACGACTGCTATAATTTCGACAAAGCCATCACTTCAAAGGGCGTTGGTTCTTTTGAGTTCTGCAGCTTTATTTGGACCCGTTGCTCTGTCTCAATCCATAGCGACATTGGCTGTCGGGGCAAGAAACTTGGGTCCGCGACAGCCGCTGACAAAGGCGACTTATGGCCCACAAAGTGGTCAAAGAATACCAGTAAAGAAGCGAAGAAGATGAAGAGTTTCAGGATTCAGGGTTGCAAGGATATTCCTGTCACGGGAGGCAACTTGGATATCGCCAGCTGTAAATAAAAGGCTGTGGGAAACAGGGTGGTTGCTCCTTTTGTAATTAGCTGCTTCCCTGCGGGTTATGTTTATAGGAAGCTTGGGCACCTAGCTATAATGCAACAGTCTTACAGTCTACTAAATATAGCAGTTCGAACCAAGACCTAACTATTTAACCTAATTATTTAGAATATAAGTGCCTAGAGTGCGCTCTGCTTCAGCAACCAGCTAATTCCATCCACACTGTCCCTCATTCTCTGCTTACTCATACCTAGTTCGCCATACTCATTCCAAAAACAATGCGGAAAGCCCCTATAGAGAGCAACCTTAGTAGACACACCGCATTCTTCCCTCAATACCCGCTCATAGATCAAGCTCTCATCACGGTTGATGTCCATCCCGCACACCTGGAAGTACGCAGGTGGTTGACCCATGTGCCCCATCTTGATCTGGCCTGAGGCATCGTCAGGATGTTGCTGATCGAATGGTACCCACAATGGGGAGTCAAAGTCTGGCGCCACTACGGATTGGAACTTCTCTAGGAAAGTCCTGTTGACGATTGGTGCATCCTTATTCTGCTCCCAGGAAAGGTAAAAGGGGCGGTACTTCTCTGGCACGCGTGAATGAGGGAGGAAGCCTCCTGCACTAAGGAACTGGCCCGTCAACTGCGGACAGAGGCTGTTGGATTGGGCAAGATGGGAGACGACGCAAGCCATATGTGCGCCTGAGGATGTTCCACCGATGATAAACCCTATTTTTGGATCGGCTTGCGGTGGGAATAGAGCGGATTCGGGATCATGAGGTGAGACAAGCTCTGCCGCGATATATTTCAGAGCAGCCCAGCCGTCTTCCATAGGCGTGGGAAAAGGGTGTTCAGGGGCCAGTCGGAAGGAAGGACATACAACAACGGCCGAATGAGCCTCGACGAGCTCCCGAGCGAGTTCGACTTCTGTCTCGGGAAAGGCAAGACAATAGCCCCCTCCATGGAAGAGAACTATGATGGGACAGGAAGCGGATGGTGCCGAAGGCTGGCAGACAAGAGTTCGAGAGTGGAAGCCCGTGTCGAGAGGGAGAGTGTGCTCCGTTTCGATGATACCGTCAGGCCGATCAGCCGCGAGCTTGGTCTGTAGGATAGGCAGATGTTTGTGGACCATTTCCTTTAGCTCGCCTACCTCCAGTCCTGGAAATCCAGGAGGGCGGCCTTTCTTGGAATAAGCTTCCTCGAAAGAGGGATCCATTGCGGCAGTAGCGAGGAGCTCCTCCACCGTCGAGGGGATGCTTGGGCTTGACGAAGCCATCGTTGGCAAACGGTATGAACTATAAAATATAAGAGGTATAAGTTAATGATTATTTCTGGCTTGTCTTTAGGTCCATTCTTTTAGACCCATCTATTCTCCCATCTTATATGAATTAAGGTTGGTTATCTGGCCTTAACATGGGGTAGGTTTTGGTTAGGAGGGGGCTTTATTACGCTAAGCCAGAATTGTCTCGCCGGCCCCATGGTAAGACAAACTCTCCATAATTCCGTGGCAAACTCCAGATGTCGAAAGGAGGTTGACTAGTGACTCAGACCGATTGTTTGTGCACAAATCAACCGTGGCTGACCCCCGAGTCTTGGCGGTTTATATCTTCTCGTACCCATTGTAGCTGGCCCACTCGATGCAATTTTGGGCACCCTTCATTGTTGATATGCGCAATTAGCGAGACGAAAAGCAGAAACAGAATAAAAGCTTTTTCCTTCCATTTATAAACTAGAGTTTTATTTCCCCCGGGTTACAAGGACCTGCGTTACAGCTACATATTCCCATCCTTAGCTGGTCTTGGGTTGTGACACTCTCTGCTAGGCTCGACTTGAGACTATAGCTGAATCTAAAAGACTAATCGTCATGCATCACGAACTCTCACTTGGTAAGATCGGTGGATATTCGTAATCACTTCTAGACAGTAGGTCACTCTGAAGTAAGAGTAATACAGTTATGGTAATGGATCTGAAAATTGCGTTAGCTACTCTACAAAAGTCTCACTGGTGCTCTGACGGATGGGCTCTTCAAAAAGCCTTTTTTGGTTTCTGCCTTGGCCGTTGCTTATTTCATCGGTCAGATTTGTTCTGTAGAACCGGGGACCTTAGGCTTGGCACGTGGGTGCTGGCTAATACGTGCGGTTTTAGTTTATTGGTGGTTCAATTGGATTGTCGTTTCGTCGCATGATTATGCGTAAAGCAACATGCTTGAGAACGCAACCCAACAGTCTGATAAATTGATTCCTGCAAGACAATAAAAAAACAAGAAACCCAAGTCGTTTCTACCAATTGGCAATCTCTCCATAGTATATTGCTACTCTGAGATGGTAATTCAACTCGACTCGTATGTTATCTCAAGCTGGAAAATTGTCACCCTAGACTCAGCAACTCCACGCCACGCTCCGCCAAGCTCGCTTCGGGTGGTGGAGACTCCGGTCCTGTCGCGATTACAGGTATGTGGGTGCGGGGATCTAGATCTGATCTCAGATCCATCTTTCGTGGCTCATCCATCCGGCTCCGTAGCCGTTATCCATAAATCAGTAACGACATTCACAAATAAAAGAAACGACAAATCATTCCATTATCAACGTCATCGTTTTGTCGCACATTTTTTAATGGAATCCTCGTTGAGCAATCATCCAAATAATGAAATTTTATTTCTTACGAAGAAGCAAGTTTATTTACTGATGGGTTGATCTACCGTAACCCTAAGCGTCATGTTGTACAATACAGTCTCGTTTACCGTTTCAGATAAGATTTAATACTGGCACACAAACTAGCGCACCAATATCTATTTCTTGATGAACTTTCTCTTCTGTTCACCTTCTTCGTTGTCTCCAGCTTCGTCGGGGGCCCTTGCAAGTACCTCAACAAGCGGCCAAAGCCTATGCTGTCTACCACCATCGAAGCCATCTACCATTTGCGGTTCGTACATCACGCAAACCCATATAAAATTTGTCCACGTACTAATAAGAAGCAGCAAACAGCGAATTCAAGCAAAAACACCCACGAATCCTACCCATCCCGATGGCCAAGATCCCAACTTCCACCTCTGCGCGGTCTATGCGCGCAATATTGCTTCGATCGATCGAATGAAACGTATGGTACAATAGTTATATGGTCTCCCTGAACAAGACCAAGAAGCTCTCATAGATTGGTGCCGCCGCTTCATGGCGGAATGCCGTTGGCAGCTGCCTGGGGGTGAGTTGGACACCGCCAACCGCCGCGATTTACTTGAGCTCTTTCGCCAGTTTGAAGAGAAACCAGAGCCAAATAATGCGGATCGCGTCGGGGATCACCTTCCCAGTAACGAGATGGGCGAGTCTCACAAGAGAGACGTCAAGGACGACGCTGATGAAGAGGAAACCAACACTGAGGATCCGAAGGAGGCCGAGGGAGCGTCACAGACCAGTGCTCGCGGTAGCGCCAAGGCTGATTGAGTCCTCCGGCCTGGTTGTGATAAGAAGTGAGAAGGATCATGGGCTTAATGGTTGGGGAAGGACTGGAAAAGGTTGGATTGAATCACGGACTGCTCATCAACCACTATATAGTATTAGACTAGAGAAGAATGAAGATAACACGGAATTCAACGCACCGTTGAGTTATACTATCTTACATGTACCCAGTTTAATCGTCGCTCGCCCCTGCGCTGTTGCGCCTCGCGAAAAGGTGGTATATGGCACTTGAACTTTCCATTATTCGATACCATGGACATCCCCATATCTCCGAGTGGCCAATGAACCAAATTGAGGGTTTTGACGGGCATGTTCGATGAATTGCTGGCACTGACCTTCAGCCGCCATCCTTACCCAGTCTTAGTCTCTCTGCTCTATCGAGGGAATCCACGGCAGCAGGAACCGTGGAATTTTTCGACTACAAAGGTTCAATCACTCTCCATATCCGACCAAGTCGACCTCGCCTGACGTGTCCCAGAATCCTTCACGTCACGATGAAAACGGGAGAAGCAGAGATTATAGCATCAGCCTCGGCGCTTAATTCCAGATCGTCATCGATCCACACTTTATCATTTCCACCAGGCAAAATCTAGGCGTGGATGCTAAGTTGGACCCAGATTGAGCAGAAAAGGAAATAGTAGAAAACCCGAATTGCTAGTAGTTCATTAAGAAAGCGGTCTGAATACGGCACCACTGCCTCCGTCATTGTTGATCAAGCAGTAATTTGGTGATTCGCATTGACCTAAGCCGCGCAGTTCCCCAATTCTTAGTACACTTGGCCAACACTCATCGCCATCACCAGTTCACTAGCTCTCCCTAGGGCAAAAACCGCTTGGTTCGCTGTGCAATGGGCGAGGATTCTACCATTCGCGCCCGTGACTCGCCCTACCATCAGCGATCAATGTCCCCTCAAAGTAGCATTGGCGAATCCAGCCGGTAGACATGGCTGACCTTCACCAATTGATATGCTCGTTGCCGCTGACCTCCGGATCGTGAGGGTGCTCAAACGATAGCTCCGGTTTAATTTGGCAACACATCTACTACTGATTGGACTGCTGCTTGGTTGTCGCCTGTATCTCCTGGTATCCTTCCGGTGATACAGCATATCGCCGTACGAACATACAGTCTGAGAGATCTGTCTCCTGGGGCTCGGTCCGCTCTGGAAGCTCCATCGAGCTTCTTGCGCTGTATAGACGATCCAGGGCGAAAGATGCGCTGCTATAAAAGCGCTCCAGCCATATCCTTGTTCCCCGACACGTGCGCGTCACAAGTACCGAAGCTGTGTTTTTGAAGTTGATTCTTGAGTAGAGAGCCAATCTTTCTATCGAACCTTGGTGATTTGTCTCGGAATACTCGCGTGGGCTCTTGGTTCTGGACCCGGGTCGCTGATGCAGCGCCCCAGGTGCCTGGTCTTTTCGGAATATGTAATTAGGGTTTATCGTGTTGGAATTTATCGGGTGATTAATTATGGATTACCAGTAGAATATTTGGCGATGGAATGCATTCACACGAAAATCGCTCAGTGTCGCCTCCAGAACAACATTCTTCTACATCATGCTGACAATATCAGTGTCTTTTATTAGCTTGGGTATTACATATGCTCTGTATCCAGGATTTAAATACAGAAAGACGGCTTGGG